CCATGGGATTTGAGTTTAAGGCGTTATGAATGCCTTGTGAAAGTTTTAGAGGAGTAAAATGAATTTGCATAAATCAAGGGATAAAAATGCATGTTACCACTGAGTTATTATTGAGTTTTAGGGAAGGCTGAGGTTAAAACAACTTACTTGGTTGGTAGAGAATTTCTTTAGAAGAAGAATAGTGAAAACCAAGGGAGAAACCTGGGAGAAACTATAATGGAGAAAACTCAGTTTGAGGTGGAGTTTCCTACTATGGATGCTAGCAGTAGTGAGAGAATGGTTATAGAGATCTCTGATTATTATTTGACTCATTAAAAGGTAAGGAGGGTTATTGTAGCATCTCAAAGGGACGCTTATGCTAGCCTTGGATATTATCTTTTTAATGTGGCTGAAGGACTGCAAAATAAAAGAAGAAAAACCTTTAGGGAGGCATTTGAAAACAGGTGGAGTCAAGGGTGGTTGAAAAATCATACTTGTAGGCTTGTTAAATTACCTAGACAGAAAAGGATAACTGGGAACAAGTGGATGCAAGTTGCTAGATCAAGGTTCAAGGGTTGCTTGAATTTGATCAAAGTTATTGATTAAAGCTTTAACTTGGTAGAAAGCAGCAATGTTGTTGATTGTCAAATTGGTATCAATACAGTTTAAAGCCAAGGTGGAGATTGTTGTAAATGTGCCTTAAAACCTTTGTTGATGAAGAGAAAGAAAACATATTTTGGAGATTGCATTTACCAAGAAAATCGGGCGAAAATTCGGGAAAAAATTTTGGTCGGTGAATAGTGTCGTCTGTACGGTAAATAGTAACCCACGTACGATGAATAGTGACGCCCGTACGGTGAATAGTGTTGTTCGTACAATGAATAGTGATTTCTAATTTTCAGGCTTTTTATGATACGATCCATGTGATTTTGGGCTTTGTTTGTTGGATATTTGCTATTATAAATATGTATCTCTTATATGCTTGGTGTGTGATATTCTTAGATTTTTCACCAACAAGGGACACCAAGGGTTTAAAGGTATAACATAGGGTTTCAGCTTTGCACAAAGAAAACCTTGGATTATACCTTGGGTTTGAGTGATTCATATATTGAGAGTTGGAGAAATAGAGAAACACTTGGGTAGAAAATATGGTTGTTCTTGGGCGCCTTCAGGGTTGTTCCTGGGAACCTGAGGGCGAAGGCTATTTTCTTGTAACTCATCTGTAATCTCTTGTAAAAGCTTTTTTAGTATAATGAATTGGAGAGCTGTTCTCTTCCCCAAAGCAGATCGTTTGATCGAACTGGGTAAACAAACCTTCATTTTTTCTTGCCTTATTTTGTTATATTATCTGTGTATGGATTATTATTACTGTAGACCATTTATTTTGGTTGCTATTTTTCTTTGCCTCACAAATTGATATTGAATTTTGTCGTAATTCACAACAAGATTCACAATGGTAACATATATTAATTCTTCTATAGTCATGGTATATTATGCTTTCAAAAATATTTTACTAAAAGAAGTTTGTTTCCTGGCTTACAGACCTTGCATATAGAAGAATTGAGCCGATACTCGATTACCTTTATCGCACAACTTAATAATTAAGTAAATCAACTACCTACCCATTAATGAAGATGTCACCAATCTCCCTAATTTACCCTTCAATTGATTTTTACTTAATACTAGACCATGCCCTTTTGAGTAATTTACTAAATACAAAAACATTGACCAATAGTATGGTCCAATTTGCCAAGTGGCAGAATTTTTTTGAAAACTTTGTCTTCCCTCTTTCCCTCACCTTCTCCCTCTTTCCAATTTTCGTCTTCCCTCTTTCCCTCACCTTCTCCCTCTTTCCAATTTTCTTCCTCTCTCTTTCCCAAAATTATATTTTCTGGAAAAAAAAAACGAGAACGAAGCTCTCTAAATCATCATCATCATCGTGTGAGCAACAACAAACAACGGATAGGGGAAAGCAATTTGAAGAAGAACGACCTTCGTACGACTTGCTCATTTTCGGAATCCCACTCTCTTCGATACATTTTTGGATTCGTGTTTGATTTAAGGTCTGATTTCAATCTGTCACATCACTCGCTCCTTCTCGTCTCTCAATCTTTCTCTGATCTATGGTTCTAGATTTTGTTCTGGTTTATTTATGGGAGAAATATTTGATTAGTTAGAAAAGGGATTTAAGATTGAAGAAGGTGAAGAGTCGATGAAGGTTAATGGAGGTCTATGGTTGTTGTGGTGATGAGTTTTTTCTTTGAAGGTTTATTTTCCCCCCCTCCGCCTCTCTTGATCCATTTCTCGCTTCAAAACTCAGGTTTGGTTTACAAGTTCGGATCTGAAACTTTTCCAACCTCTCTTCCCCTCGTCTTTCTCTGTTACTGGTTTCTGGGAATGGATTTGCGTGTTCTATTTTGGTCTTTCCATTTTGGTTGGTTTAAAAATAAAGGAAATGATTATGTGTTGTTATCTATGCATTAGTTTCTTTCATCTGAACTGGTGTTTCATTTAATATGTGAGTTAAATGATATGATTATGTCACATTTTCATGTTTTGCCTATGCCAGAAATATTTTAGGTAGTTGTTCTATATGGTTTTGCCGCGGCTAGCTTAGTTTAAGCCAGAATTTAGATGGCTTTGTTAACCAAGACGATAAGTGTCTTCCACGGCATATTTGTAATATGTAACTTAAGACTCTGATGTGGAGATTTCTGATTCTCTTCTTCTGGCTTTGTGTGCATAAAATTATTGAACAGACCAGAAGATGTATATAAAAGATGAAAAAGAAGTTGAACATAGAAGTTTTTCTCATTGATCTGTTTGAATTTTTTCCAGGTCTGCGTATCAATGATGTAACTCCTATGGTTCTTGTCCTAACACATTCTTGGTGCAAACCAAATGCAGGTATCATTCAACCTAACCTATCATGCTATTGAATTTTACGAATTAACTCACATAGCATGACATGTCTTTTATTCTTTGCTGTTATTACATTTGTCACAACAACTAGGAAGCCAACATTGTCTAATGCTTGGAATGGAAGTAAATTACTCTTCAATTTGGATGATGTGCAAGTTCAAGAATACAAATCTAAGTAATTGACCTATCACGTAGCCTTCTAATCAATCAAACCAATTGCATTTTCGTAGCTATGCATATTGATATGCCACTTTATATTCCACAAAAGAAACCCAAGAAGTACTAAGAAATTACTTGAAACACTAAATATGCTAATATTTTGTTGTTGTTGTGGCTGCTTAATAATTTGGGAATGTTTGTTGCTGAAGGCTAGATGATAGAGACGATTGCATCGTTGAAGGCTACATAGTAGATGATGTTTGCATAACAGATTGTTGAGAGGTATTCACTGATTTGATTGTAGAAGGTTATGCTGTTGTTGTTGCTGCTGCATCTGAGACATCTTATGCTTCATAACCTGTTGCTGTTGCTGGTAAAAAATCTGTTGATTTTGTGGTTGTTGCTATTGCTGAGGGGAACAACTTGCTGCCTACCTGGAATTTCTCTCTGAAAACCAAGAAACATACACTGTATATTGGAGTTCTGGCCAATAGAATAACTCGTGGAATCTTGCGGTTGTTGTGTGTTGGAATTTTGGCTAATATTCTGGCTGGGAGTCTAGGATAGATTCGTTACCGATGACATGTTAGGTTGAGGTGCAACATCATTTTAAATGGTTTTGGGTAGAAGCTGCTGACGAGGATTAGGATGTTGTCCTGGATTAAGAACTTGAGACTGTAAAACAAGTTCTGTGCTAAAGGAAAAGAAAAAATATTGGGTGAACCTTCTAATTCTATCACTTTCCTGTTCATTGCTAGCTGGAATATTGGGTGGCCTTTTTGGTGTAGGTGTTGGATTTGTTATGGGTCCTTTGTTTATCGAATTTGGAACTACGTCTTGGTAAATCCTACTATATTCTTTCTATCATTACATGAATTATTGATAATCTATAGTTATCTTATAGTATTTGATGATCTTGCATGTAGCAAGTGCCACAATTACATTAGGAATGACATTCATAGCATTTTAGCACAGGACATGGTGATTTCAGTAGCAATTAATCTATAGATGCACACATGGTGATTTCATTTACCATCTTCCAAAGTGGTTTTAAATTGATCTATAACTAATGTTATTTTCCTGGTAATATATGCTATCTAATGTTATTTTCCAACTTGATCTACAACTTGTGTTTTAGTTTTTCGATGTTTGTTGAATTATCATGTTCTTTAAGAGTTTAAGAATTTTTGTTCAATAATTGAGAATCAAGCTTTTTGTTGTTGATTATTATTATGATTATTTTCATCAACTTATTATTAGTAACTTAGTTTTGTAAGGTTGAATACATCAACGACTCTTTGGATGATCACATTTGGACTAAGTAGAGCAATTTCTTAGATGAGCGGTTCTTCACAAACACGTTAACGATGCTCACCCACTTAGTTCATGGTTTGCTGCTCAACTAAGTTTCAGATTGTGTTCCAGCTCCGAAGTTTCTGGCGGTTTCAGTGAGTTTCCATTTCGAATCATGAGTTACTTTCGAATCATGAGTTTCCATTTTGAATCATGAGTTACTTCCATTTCAAAATTTTTGTCAAACAATGTCACCATACATTTTTCAGTAGATAAACTCAAATGAATCAATCCAAACATGCCCGAAGGACGGTTTGAATTAGCTTATTTGAATTGATCTACTTTCTGACATAAACACTACTGAGACTGTTTGTTAAAACTTGTAGAAAAAACTTCTGCCATTTACATAAGTTGTTTTTAGCATATACGAAAAACCGTTTGACTTTATCTTTCCTTATAAAACAACTTATACATGAGTACTTTTGTTTAAGGAAGTAGAGAGTATATGAATTCAGTAGGTTTTTTTGTTGTTGGGTATTTATGTTCTGCCTATAAACACCATTAACAGAATGATAAATTCTTCCAGTCCAGAGTGATTGACCTATCTGGGTTAGTTTCCTAATTATCGATTCAACTTTGTTTCTACAATGGACATAATTTCTGCTATTGAATTTGACAAGTCTGGTGATCATCTTGCTACCGCTGACCGCGGTGGTCGAGTAGTTCTCTTTGAACAGACAGGTTCAAAAGATGTAAGTCTTATTTTTTCATTTCTAAGCAAAACATATCAACTTAGTTTTGAATGATTCATTGTAACCAACTTGGTATTGCTAATATCTGTGTATTTACAATGTAATTTAGCAGCATGGATCAAGAAAGGATTTGGAGAGTACCGACTATTCTAATAGCCGGCATCCTGAGTTCCATTATAAAACCGAGTTTCAGAGTCACGAGCCCGAGGTGATTTTTCCTCACCAGACACCAGTTAATGCAGCTAAAACTATCATTGGCTCGGAAATTTCGATGTTTATAACACGATGATTGTTGTTTCAGTTTGACTATCTTAAGAGTTTGGAAATAGAAGATAAAATTAACAAGATCAAATGGTGCCAAACCGCCAATTGGCTGATAAATCGAGTTTCTAAAGCTTTGGATATGTTTGGTAAAATTCAGTTGAGAAACTTGCAGATGGATGAGTTTAATATTCAATGTGCTTTCCGATAGGAATCTGGTAAGCTGGAATGCAATGATATCTGGGTATGCTTGCAACGGTGATTCTGCACAAGTTATCAGTCTCTTCGAGTCGCTGAACAACAAGACACCAAATAAGCCTTCCATGAAAAAGTTGTTTATAATGAGGTTCTATATAATACTTCATTCCTGTAAGCCTTCCAGGAAAAGATACAAACTAGAGAAGTGTAGTTTTCATTCCTGTTTATATAATTGAAATTCACCATGAGCGAATCATATATGATTTTATGGTGATCATAGGTTTCAGGTGCTTCTGAGGAATCCGTCAGAAACCTACCACCTTCTTCCCTGGTGATGCTAGCAAATTTAAGCTACAACAGTATAGTGGTTTGACTTCAAGAGGTTCTCAGCAGTACATGGTATTGATTGTATCCAAAATCACACAACAAATGTGAAATTCCAAGAGCATGAGGTAGCTGACAAGTTGGTTTTCTCAAAAACTATCACGTAGAAATTGATCTTGAGAATTTGATATTTTTATATACAATATACCCTCCCAACACTTGAACTCTCTGAACCTGATAACGGAAAATCTTGGACTCACCATATAACATGTTCCTTTTAAGACCCTCTATGCACTTTTAAGTGGAGTGATTAAGTTTAATTGATATGTACACAGTACAAACCAGTTGTGATAGGGACTGAGCTAACATATTCTAAGACTATCCATCCATCTTTCTCCATTGCACTTTAAGTAATGGATCTTTCAAGTATGATAGTATACTCATTTCTCACTGCCTATAAATCAGGTATAGAAACAAAAAATATACCTTTGTTCTTATTGTCTATCCTTTTATTAATGGACATATCAATGGTTTAAAGAACCATTGGCTTCATCAACCTTAATAAAACTTAAGTCCTGAGTTTCTTCAATAGGAGTCACATTCATATACCAGTGCTCTTCTGTACTCTAAAAAGGTACCTTAAATACATTCTATTTGAATAATTTAACTCATTTGAGACTGCAAATTAATTTCTATTTACTTGCTACAGTTTCTACAAAAGGATCCATCTACAAGGTTATGCTAGTGGGCCAAATGGAGATTAACAGATCGAAAATCATAAGTGTGTACATCCTTTATATAGTTTTGTTACTAAATCATCAATTACTTTAAAGCTTTAGGATTATTATCTGTTTTGTTTTGAATCAAAATAAAGGAAGTAGCAGGAGCATTTTTAGGTCAATCAGTGAAAAACGCGGTTGTTACTGTTCCGGCTTATTCATAGACAAGTTACAAAGGACGTCGATGCTATCTCTGGTTTGAATGTGCTTAGGATAATCAATGAACCTACTGCTGCAACAATTGCTGCCACTATTTAACACTATTGACACCCTAGGTTTTACTATTGTTTATGATTATGATGTTATGCACATTTGTTTGTATATTTTCCTTTTCTATCACAACATAGTTTTTGACTTCAAATGATTACATCATAACACATTGAAGAATTTGAAGTGTATTACCTCTTCCCATGTGTTCCAATTGGTTAAGGATCAGATAGAAAAATCAAAATCGGAAGTGCAGGAGTATCTGGCCTTATATGAGAAACTACAGGTTATTACTGGTCGGTAGTTTCATTTGTGCCTTGTGATTGTTATCCCATTTGGTAGAATATATTTATGATGATGACATTCTTGCTCCCGATTATGCTTATATATACTTGTAGGGTGAGAAGGTACCCTGTTGGGTCTAATACTATGTGTATGGCTTGTGGTAATCCTTTGGGTGCTTTAGAAACATTTTCAAGCTCATGCAGAACTCCTTCAACATCCTCTAACATTTCTTCTTTGCAGAATAACCTGTTATGGCATTGCAGTCAACAATTAGAGTCTGCATAATATTGGCTCCTTACTTGCTGTCTTTTATTAAATCACATAATATTGGCTCTGTTTTGATTAACCAGCCAATCATAAGTTTGAATTATAACATTTTATAACTCATGTGAAAATTGTGTCATAGGGGAAAACATGCAGTGGCAGCCTCAAGCAGCAACATCCCAACAACGACCAGACTTCTCTACCGTAAAATGCGGATTTCATTATGAATGAGTAGCAACAAAACATATAATCCAAGGGATCGGTGTTGGTATCGTTTGTCGTATCCTAGAATTTGATTCACTTAATTCATTTATATCAAATTTAAATGAATCCAAGGGATCGATGTTGTTATCGGTGAGCGAGCAGCAACAACAACATACAATTATAATCAAATTTAATTCATTTAATAAAATGATATTGTAAATTTTTTATCAATCTTTTACTAAGAATTAAGATGAAGTTATAATGCATTAAATTAAATATAGATAATAATTAGAGCTTTAAAAAGTTATTTTTTATCAAACTTTTATTGAGAAACTACATTTTAATTTTAAATAATAATTAAAGAATATGGCTAAAAAGTTTTATGTTTTTTTAAGACGTGAATACAAAGTTGCAAGCAAATGATATATTAAAAAAAAGTTTCTCAATATTGTTTTTAAAAATTAAACGTAACTTTTTATTTTATTGATCAATTATTTTAAAAGTTATCTTTATTAACTACTTAATTAAAAATAATTATTTATCAAAGATGAACATATAATTTGCTTTAATAAATATTTATTGTATAATTATATATATATAATAAATGTTAAGTTACAAAATTCTTTAAGAAACTATTTTTTCTAAATATTACTTTTTCAAATCTTAAAGGAAAATAAATTTTAGAAAATTTATTTTGTGACTATTCAAAAATACTATAAATAAACAACATCACGATGGTTAAGATACATATAAATATATGATAATAAATTTTTTTATTTCATGAGTCACTATCATTATATAACATATTTATTTTAATTAATATCTGTTTTTATTTGAGAGATAAATTTTTTATTTTTAAATGTAAAAAATTAACTTTTATTTTTATTTCTCCTTTTTACATGTTATTTTTTATATTGTTATTCAATACACTTAAATTTATATGATCAACTTTTATTTTATAATTAAATAATTTATTTAAAATTTACATGCCCATTTAAATACAATTTATACTGTATCAAATAAATTTATTTGTGCTAGCTATCAAATAAATTTCAAGCTAAACTTGACATTTATATATGGTATTTTAATTAACAATTACACTTATTTGAGATATAAAATATTTATTTTTAAATATCAATTTTTTGTTTTTTTTCTTCATTAGACATGTCTTATTTTTATCTTTTCAAATGCTTATTTAATACAATTGATTTTATATGACAATTAATTATTTTATAATTAAGTAATTTATTTTAAATTTACATCTATGTCTAAATAATTTAATATCATATCAATATTTGTTATATTTTTCTTTATTTATATGTTTTTATTATGGATCATTAACAATATTTGTTAAATATACAATATTTGTTAAATATATCATTATCTGGAAGGTATAAAAATATATAGTGCATGGATCATCCTAACAGTGAATTCTTGGGCTTTTCTGAAGAAGGTTTTGGGAATTTTGAGTAATAACTAACATCCTCAAAATTCAGTATTAGTTCAATATATGTCTAAGACACTGTCATGTATATACAAAATGAATATGATATAAATTGATAATAAACAAATGCTACTATTGTTTTTTTAAGCTTATATCTTTGAATTATAGATGATATTTAGCTAATGTAATGTAACGGTTTTATGTCTGTAGCCAAAAAACAAGAGATTCATCCTATGTGGTTTGCTAATATTGTCAAATAACTTAAAATTTGATGTATTTGATCTTTTTATTCCATACAAGCTTACCATAAAGTTGCATGTTACTCTATTGCTCTAAAAAATGAATCGTGTATAAATATTACTCTAAAAAATAAAAAAGTCTAAAATCTTGATTATGTATTTCATAAGTTTATAATGCTTAGAGATAATATCCATTCCACTAATGCAGAGAGGATCCAAAAAAGTTGGGTACCAAAAATAAAAAAGTTAAATTATGATACAAATATGATTGATAACTCGAATTTGAAATTTTATATTGTTAGTGGCTATTCAAATCATATGACTAAAGATATAAATATCCTCTCTTACTTTAATTTAAAGAAAGGAGAATCTTCTTCTTATGGTAACAACGAAGATAAATATATTGGATATAGGACTATTGGCAAGAGACTTAATCCTATTTTGAATAAATATGACGGCTGGAAGTTTATAACATAACTAGTAGAAGATCCGTGCGTCCGCACAGGTATGAGAAAAAGTATAATCCTATCGAATTCAAATTTCACAAGAAAAAGTATACTCAAATGTATATTAAGAGTAATATTTATGCATGTTTAAAATATTATCTCTAAGCTTCCAACTAAAATTATGGTTATAAAATTAAAATGAAGCAAAAATATTTGTCATTTTATTATCGTGGTATTCTTTATAAAAACGAGAAATATGATATTCATTTTTTAATTTCACGACTTTTCTAATAAAATAAAATGAAGTAGCATGACCATTTTTTATTTTAGTAGTTATATTTTAGAATATTGGATTTAGAGGTCCTCTTTGCATGACAAATATATTAAAATTCTTAGCGTTTTTGTAGGCTCATAACATAGACCAATTTTGTTATAAGTTTCTCTTTGATTATCTTGAATGAAATTCAAGTTATAAGTCTGTTTGGTAAACTCATCAAGTGTGTTATGCAAGTCGTTTTACTTTTATTTTCTAAAAGACTTCCTTTTTCACACTTGATAAGTTCGTCATAACTTCCATAAGAAGGAAAAGAATGAGAAGGAGATTTTTGAATGAAAATAATTTGTTTTTTTCTAAGACAAACCTATTTCTTCTAATATATTTTTATTTTATTTTTCAGGAGAAGAAATAGAAGACTTAGAGATAGATTTTTTTTAATTTACTTGATTCAATATCTATTTTTTTTCTACAAATGAAGAATAAGTCATTTTAATTAAATTAAGAAGTTAGATTATCTACTTTATTTTTTACGTAGTTTGTCACG